ATAACCTGTAGTCTATACTAATTTTCCCAATTACAAAGCGCCCTTTAAGTAAACACAATTTTATTTTCCTTCGTCCCATCTCTCTCCCCCCCACCCTTTCTTTTCTTTTTTTTTTTTTTTTTTTTTTTTTTTTTTACCTTCATCCGAATTGTCTGTGGTGTGTATATGTCACCACGAAATGTATCTTTGTGTATTAGACATCCGTCGACTTTCTTTCTCTCTCTTTTAAATCCACCCCACCCACATCTCCAAAAATTCTCTCTGTTAAGGTTTCATGTCACCTCCTCATACTTACACTTTCTCTAAATTCTGTTTTGATTTCCGGTTGTTTTTCTGTTTTCATTTTGAATTTGTAGGTCTGATGATTTGGATCGTATTTACGATTCCAATGGAATAAATTATGACCATGGAATATTAGTGTTTAAGCCTTTTTATTATATCCTTACTCTGTCCTAGACATTGAGTTCTACCTGGATCCTTCCTCTTGGTAAATTTTTTCTGAAAATATACATGTATGGGAATTTTTAGATATATTTTTTCATATGTATGTATATTTTCCACTAATATTATCTATCTATCTATCTATCTATATATATATATATATATATATATATATATATATATATAAGAAAGTTCTTAAATATGGCTTAAATCCAACAGGATGATTTAAATAAGAAACAAATAGGAAAAATCTTTATGAATTTAACCTGTTTTGTTATTTAGTTTAATCAAGAATTTTTTTTTATTTTCTTATTTTTTTTTTTTTTTTTTGAGAGAAATAATTCAAAGTTGTTTCTATTTTTCATTGGTTGTGTAGACGTCACATTTATATCTTATGGTGTTAATATTTATGCATCTAACAATTTTTAATACACACTTAAAAAAATATCACCCTGTTGGCGGGACTTCAGAATACGTCGACTACACCCCTGCAGAGGGTAAAAGTCTCTCAATGGGGTCACCTATGGGCTGCGGGTGGCGACCCGTGACGCCTGGGGATGGGACCTGGTGGTTGATCAGGTCATGACACAGGTGAAAAGTTGTCATGACACTGCAGCACACCACTTTGGCCTTTACCTGGGCTAGACAGGAGGTTGGGGAGGCCCGATCCGACCAAACGGCTAGTCACGTCAAGCCCTAACGTCTATCCTCACAAAATAAATATATTTAAAACTCTATTTCAAAACGTGATATTCCCCAAATAAATGTCAGAAGACAGTGGCAAGGGTAAATCAAGTAGTACGTAAAAATCAGCCACATGAAGGAGTAAATAAAAGTTTTCATAAAAACAGGGGTAAGAAAACAAAAACAGTGGTAATGCTGGCAAAAATGCTACTAATATGAGTATACGCCTTTTGTATCCCTGAGAAAATAGGGTGAATGGGCTTCCCCACCTAATATCTCCCACTGCTGGGCTCCGAGGATGGTGGGGAGCAAAAGAGATGAAGATAAAAACAAACACACATGGCAACAAAAAAAAAAAAAACAACAAAAAGACCCCATATTGAATCAAGCTCTGACAACAAGTCAGAGCATGAACTAACACATCATCAATTTATAGTATTAGAATCTATTGAAAATATTCCTCTTACCAAAATATCTCCTTTCAAAATAGAAAAAATTATCTCAACCGACATCCAAAAACCAGAATCTGTGAAAAAAAAATGAAGAATGAAACAATACTAATCAAAGTATCCAAAAGTACACGTGCAAAAAAAAAAAATATAAAACTGGACAACCTTTGACAAGATAAAAATCAAAACATACCTACACAAAACCCTAGATTCATCCAAAGGAGTAGTGAGAAGCCATGAACTCTCACTATGCACCCTGGAAAAGATAAAAACAAACCTAAAAAACCAACAAGTAAAAGATGTCAAAAGAATAACTATTAAAAAAAATGGTACACTTATTGAAACCAATACATATATATTAACCTTTAACTCCCCTGTAATACCTAGGGACATAAGAATTGGATATTCAATAGCAAAAGTGGAGACCTACATACCAATGCCACTTAGGTGTTACCGATGCCAAAGATACGGCCACCACAAAGAAACTTGTGCTAGAGATCCAGTGTGTAGAAGATGTGGAAATACAGAGACTGAACATCCAGAAGATTGCAGTGAAAGACCTAGGTGTCCAAAATCAACAAAACAAAATATTCACCAAATATCTTTCTTTGAAGCAAGAAAAATTGTCTAAATGCAGACACCCACAATAACATATGCCTCTGTGCTGACCTCAGAAAATAAACATCCTGAATATCCAGAAAAAGAAACAACAGAAAAAATCTGAAGAAATCTCAACCTTAATAGATAACCTGAGAATTCTACTTATTATATAATACTCAAACCTGAAACGATGACAACAGCTAAAAATAACCAAAAAACAACTGAACAACTCCACATCAAATACCACAAAACAAACTCCAAAAGAGGAAACCAAAAGCCTCAGCAGAAGGCAAACAGACCTGCAAAAAATCTACAACAAACAACCTGAAAACTCAAAACAGATTTTTACTTAACAAAATAGAACAAGAAAAATCAGAAAACATGATTACAACTGAACTTTCAAAAAGAACACAGCATGGAAAAAAAGCAACAAAAAAAAGACACACAAACTCATAAGAAAAGCCAGTCAAGCCAATGATCAACTTCCAAGAACAGATCAAAAAGCCAAACAAAATCCTCCCTGGTAAAAAAGAAACAAAACAAAAACCCTAGCAACATGACAACTGAGAATACCTCACCATCCCTAGAAGAGATGGATATATCATAAAAAAAAAAAAAGAAAAAAAGAAAACAATGAACTCAAGATCACAAAATTCTAAAAAAAAAAAAAAAAAAAAATGCTCCCTTCGGAAGCAGACTCACAGTGGAACACTTTATGTTCAAGTGCAGAACCATCTCCAAAATAAGACAAAAATATTATAACCATAAGAGCCTCAAAAGAGTCTTTGAAGAGACACACCAACAAGATATACAGTTTCCTTTCAGAAATCGGCATCCATAACAAAATTAAAAAAAAAAATGTTTTTTTCCTTTTTTATAACTCAACCCAATGCCACGATTAAGCTCTGCTAAAGTACTTGCAAGAGCCTCTAAGGCTGGAATATCAAAATATCTATCTATATGTTGAAGTATAATTATCAAGCTATCTATCTGTTTGTCAAAGTGTAAATATCAACATATATATCTTTATATCAAAGTATGAATGATAAGCTATCTATCTATTTATCAAGGTTTGGATATCTATTATTGGCATTAAATAACCCAACGAGGTTGATATGCTGTAAAACACAAACAAACAAACTTAAAAAATGTTAACATTTCAAGAATTAAACATAAGTGCCATAAAGTATGTGTGACACCTACACAATCAATGTAAACAAACCAAACTTAGAATTTAAAATTTGAAAGACTATTTAACTTCCAGAAATTTCTGATTAAGCTAAATAAGCAAAGCATGTTCAATTTATAGGGTTTCATACTAATTTCTTGTGTGTGTGTGTGTGTGTATATATATATATAGTTCAAAGGTTTGAGGACATCCCTGGTAATTTTTTAAATTGGCCAAAAAAGTAGTTGTTTTGTATTTAAAAAAGAGAAAATTATTATACAGTGCTAAAAAAAAGTAAGACGTGCTTTTTTATTGAAAATTTTATTATGACAAAAAGAAAAACATATTTTAGGATTAAATATTGCTCTTGTCAAAATATCCACCTTTAGCCTTGATTACTGCAACACAAATTTCTGGCTTTCGTTGCAAAAATTTCTAAAATATAAATTTGATAATTGATCCTGATTTTTTTTTTTTTTTTTTTTTTTTTTTTGCAATGACTCTAAGAGCTCTTTCATTTGTTTTTTCACTCTTCTGTCAAGTTCATCCCATGTTAATTCTGGGGGGCGGCTTCAAACTTTTGAACTGTATGTATGTATAAACACACACACACACACACACACACACACACTATCATTGGCACTCAGAGCCAAAAGAACATTGAAGAGTATAAGGAGACAAGAAAATGATGAAAAGGAGAAATAACTTTGACACACATGAAAAAAAACACCTCACATCAATAACTAATGCATAAATTAATATTTTAACTTAATATAAAAATAATGAAAATGAGAAAATCTACAGTCAATTGCTGAAATTTCCTGACAAGTGGATGGGATGATTGCAAAACAATTTGCCTATGAAACTCTAGAGTTGAGGTACTGAACATAACATCTATCAGTTAAATGACAAATTTTATAATAAAAAATAAATTTTATGTTTTTTAAGTCTTCTGTTCTTTCAGTCAGTTATGTGCCATGCATGATATACACTTAAGCAATCGTGTATCTTTCGATACATGACTGACAAGGCAGATTTTTTTTTTTTTTTTTTTTTCCCACAGTTGGTTGCCATTTCTTTCTACGGTAGACCATTTTCCATCCAGGAACCTGGTCTGTCCTGCTATTTACTCATAGTTGGGTGGAGAAGAAGAGAATTCATATCTTTCCCAAGTGAATGTAATGGATCTGATTGAAATTTGAACTCAGCTCTCCAATTTCTCAATCCAAGCTGCTATCCATTATTCCACCATGCCTCCTTTTAGTTTTTGTTTTTCTCCTTATGAATATATTTTTTGCACAAACGCTATTTTAAAAATAACCTGAGCATTTCTGTTAGAAAAGGATTTGTGCCTAACTCATTAACTACAACAGAAATATCTGTTTGTACATATTTAATATAATTGCAATGACAACTGCCAATGATCTGCAGTTAAATCATTAATTGCAATGTCTTTTTAAGATTAAATTTAATTTCAAAGGTTGATCACTTACGACCTTAAATTAATTCCATTTTCAAATAAAAAGCCCAATTTAAAATGCTGCCTTATTGTTAATCCATGTCATTTGTAGAACTTTACATAAAATAATTTTTTTTATTTATTTATTATTTTTTTATTTTTTTATTTATTATTTTTTTTATTTATTTATTTTTTTCAGCAAAAGAATGCCATTGCACGCACTGCCGATACGTCTACAAGTATCTTGAATATAATCTTTGCACCTTTCTTTATGCTGTGGAACTTCTTCTACGGTTTGATATTTGGACGGCCATCAGGTTCAGCTGAGAACAATGGTGAGAGTAAGAAAAGACCACGAGAGGAAGTTGATGGACCTGGTCCATCCAGTTCCAACAGACCGTCAACGTGAGTGATTTTTGTAAATAAATTGATACTTTTTATACTTATTACCTGCCAATTATATTTTGTTGCATTTTTTTTTCACTTATTGTAGCATTATACTTAAATTATTGCTTGTATTAATTTCTTTTTTTTTCTTAACAATAATAATTATAATAACAGCTCTATTCTATCTTTCAATATTCTCTACTTTAACATGTTCAGCTCCAAACAACGCTAAGGAACATTTGAGCTACTTGTTAAATACTAAACAATGTCAATTATATAAGATCCCTCCTTTTGGAAATTTGCACTTTGTCTTCATTTTGTCCTCCACATGATGCTGTGACTAATACCAGTTTTTCAACAAACTCATTTAGTCACTGTGTATTTGGGAATATTCTATTCTTGGCCAACACATATAAGTATAAAAATGTTAATGCTGAAGACACTCATTCTCTTTCCAAAGCATACAGATTGAATGCTGAAACTTGCTAAAGCAGATTTTTCAAATTATTCATTTTTTGGCAGGAGAATGGTAGAGTAATGGCAATAGCCTAGATATGTCAGTTTCAAATTCAGTCAGTGCTAAAATACAACCATGATTTGTCATTCTTACTGTATTATCAGAATTTGCTGTATCGTTAAAATTGTATTCATAAGAATGAACAAATATTTTGATGTATTTTTAATAAATCTTACATGTTATACAAATAGCCAGTTTATAGTATTTTGTATAGAGAAAAATGTTAAAATTCCCTTCCTTTCTGCCATGTAATGATGGCCTAGAGGTAAGATATCTGACTGATGTCAAATCAGTCGGGTCTCAATCCTGGCTTGAAGCATACAGCAAAACAGTCTCTGTGGATGACATATATGGCTCAGTCATGGGTCACTTATTGACACCACCTGTGACTCTTTGAACAGTTTTATCACCGCTGCCTCTCTACAGTCCTTGATATCCACCAGAGTGACTTTGTGACCAATATTGAACTCCTTGAAAGGATGAAGATCACCAGCATTAAGGCCTTGCTGTTGAAGTCCCAGTTATGCTGGGCTGAACACATTTCCAGGATGGAGAATCGTTGCCTGCCTAAAGTTTTATTGTACCTTGAGCTCTCCACAGGCTATCATGGCAGAGAGACAATAAAGAAGCAATTCAAAGATTGCATGAAAAAATCTTTGGTGCCTGTCACATCAACCATTGACAATGACCAACTCTAGCTGAGAACCGTGACGCATAGTGTCTCCCACCAACCATGCTGTCTCAATCTTTGTCTGACACAAACATACCTGCAAATAACGTGTACAGACTCCTCTTGATCTTCGTTTTGCAAAGTCAAGCCATGATGGCATATGTGTGTGTGTATATATATATATATATATATATATATAATATATATATATATATTTGGTCTAGTGTCCCTGCTATATATTTCAAGATCCTCAACAGAATGCAAAGAACGGTTTGTAATGTTAGTGTCTCAACTTCATACAAAGAAAATTCTGGTTGAAAAAACTAAAATTCTATATAAATGAAATTACCAAAAATATCACACTATATATCACACTGTATATTAAACATCTCTCTCCCACTGTCAACTTTACTTTGTTTAACAATGGGAGTGGCATGCTGAAAGTTCTTTAAAAAAAAATAGAAAGATGCTCACTTGAATTCCAGCCATGCTCAATGTGTCAAGGCACAGAATAAATTCTCCTACAAGTATTCAAAACAACACGAAAAATACATCTGAAACAGTCAAAACATGAAGAGAAACTAACGCCAAAAACAAAACTCCCTTGAAAATGACTAAGGAAGTGGCCGGAAGTGCTTGGGACCAATGGATGGTATGGTCAGTTTTGTTCTCTCTCACTCCCACTAATCTGTAAAATGTAAGAATGCTGGAAAAAATAAATTAAAAAATTAATTTTTCTTGTATATCATATTTAATGAAAGATGTTTAAAAGAAAGGTTGCTGCCCAAATATACGTTAATCATATATTTGTACAGAATATTCAGTTTCATAGATTTTTTTCTTACACACAATCCTTAGTAGATTTGTTAGTAAACTAAAATTATTTATATACAGATGATTTTTTTTGCTTTTTTTTCTCCTTGTTGATAATAAGAGAAAAAAGCTATAAAACAGTCATTGGTAAATTTTGTATGTTCAAGGCAGTGTGTACCAAATTCAACAAGTCTTACTAATAATATTAGTGATGATACTAAATCTAATTCAACAAGTTCTTTGAGCTTAGTAAAAATAGTGATGCTTACATACTAGCTATATGATGTGTCATCCAGGATGTTGGATCAAGGCAAGAAATAACAATAAATCTATCTGAATTTCTGGGATTAGAATTGTCTTTATTGACAGTCAAATTAATGTCCTCATCCTCATCTCTGTTGTTAAAATCACAATATTTTACATGTTGTGCTCTTCAGCCTTCTTTAGCTGTCTATTGATCTAGGTAATCTCTAAGGAATTTAAAACTGAACCCTTTAGTATTTGATTGGGCAATAACCTACAGGATTAAAATATTGTTTCATGACTTTGGTGAGAGTAATTGTGAGTTCAATCCCTGGGCAGACTCTGACTAAATGGAAATCGGATAAATCAGTCTGAATATCAAGTCAAACTCTTTATTTAGTCCACAAGGATAGATTGTTCTTCTATTATCATGCCTAGCAATCATTGAGCAGTATTTAAAAATAAGGACACAATGAGATTTCTCTAGACATTTTTGTTTTCTGTCTATATTTCTGAGATGAGGTATTGTAACTATTTAGATCGTTTGGACTGTTCTCATCTTCATTGCCATATTCACAACTCAAGGACACATGGCCCAGTGGATAAAAGCATTGGTTGAGTAATCCAAATAGTAACTTGACCCAAAGAGTTATGAGTTCACAGCAGATGGAACAAATATGTGGAGAGTTGAGTTTCTAAAGAGAATTGACTGATACAAAGATCTCGGAAAAAGGCATTAGGACAATGTGGATTGAATAAAGGGTTCAACTCGAAATTCAATATATATCAACTGAAGAAGGTTGGAGCGTACAACGTCTGAAACATGGCAATAAAGATGAGGATAATGGTCTGAGTTATGTAAATATTTGTTTACATTTCTCTCAAATATTTGACAAATATGGAAACACATAGAAATATACAGGTAAGTCTCTTTCTTTTTTTTTTTTTAAATAAGTTAAACTGCAATTTTTTTAAATAATTTTTTTATTAAGATGGCATAAAAAATGAACAATATGCTGATTTTTTTTCCATCATGAAAATCCATTCCTTTCATATGTGTGTCTGTCCACACTTGTTATAATTTATGGTCTTCTGATACCTCTTATTTCTGTTCTGGAAGATGCTTTCTAAAAGACTTTACATTAGGAACTATTTAAAAGTAAGAGGTTGGCACAAACTTAATGAAATCTCTTTATGAGCTCTCTAATGCTTTGACTTGTATAGATATCTGTCCAGGGAAATGAACTTTCTATTAAAGACATATGTGGCTATATTTGTAAAGTATTTACAACCAGTGATGTTCAGACTTTTTAATATGATTTTGGCTAGTATCACATGTCCTCTTCCCACCACTACAAAATAATGTAGATAACCTCTAGTGAATAAAAGCTCAATTACACTCTAGTAGTAACTAGTATATAGCAAAATAGTTTCCAAGTACTCCTGTTGGCTCAATTGTATATTTAATGTCAAAAACTATTTTATATAGGATGAAAATTTCTCTGATTTAGCTACTATCGGATTCTAAATCAATATTTCGAAAATATATCCAATATAAAAAAAAAAAGTCTATTTTTAGTTTGCATTTTACACCTCCTTAGAGGTGTCCACAAATTGCGATTGGCACCCTGTGGGTGCCATCGCGGGGTATTGGGAATAGTTTTCAACTAGCAATAACCACGCCTCGGAAAATCCTCATTGGCTATGGTATCGCCTCTGCGCAAAGCTAACGACTAAGCTGCCGACTTTCCTACTCATAGTCTACACATGCGACAATAGCGCTTGGCTAGTCTTTTACTTTTGCAACTTTATTTAAATATTCTCAACACGCACCTCCATTTTAACTCACTATTCACCCTTTTACATCTATTATACAACGTTCCATAATAAATTTCACATGATTTACGCTTTTTAAGTATTTTAAATCCTTATTTTCTTAATTAAACATACAATTATCAAACTTTGAAAGTTGTCTGCCCATGACGACCTTGACCTTTCAAATATTTGTACACGTGTAATTTTTACTTTATTTATTTTGGCCAATCCATGACTTTATCCCCATTGAAAAAAAAAATCAAATGTGCAGAAAACAGAGACCAGATGTAAGTGGACATTTAGATGGTATAGTTCATGGAGATCCGTTTCCTATCAGTACCTCCCCTTTCTACTAAAAAAAAAGGGGGGGGAATCTGAGGAAATTTCATTGAAACTAGGTAGTTTTTTGGGGGGAAAATACATGGTAGGCAAAAAACACGTAGTTTAATTATCACTCGGTATCTTTGATGTTGCACGAGATGAAACACAGTGAAAGCAATATTAAAAGATGACAAGAAACTCTGGATGCTATTGTCAACAACTCAAAAATAATTTCATTTTTTTTTCTACTTTGAAATTTATTTTCAAATTTAAAAACTTTTTACAACATTTTTTTTTCTAATTGCTGCGTTATATTTAAAACAGGAATTAGGATTTTTCCTCCCTAATTGCAACATTATTTTCTCTTCAGCTGTGTTTATTCAAATCAAATTTGTTGATCTTGATAAAAATTAAAAAGGCATTATTATCAATTAGTTATCGTCACAACTTAATAATTAAAGAAACCTCTAGTAAATTTGCGGTAACATTGCAATTTATTTACATTTTAGAACAAAGTGCTGTTCTAAGTGTAAGCGTTTTGTTCCAGTTCGTTCACGTTGCTACCGAATGTGACACAGTTTAAAGTGGGTTTAACGATAACACTGTGGGAAAACTACTTAACCCCCACTCGGCGCTTCC